GATTTACTCCTCGTTCTTGTACGGGCTCATTTTGTGACCTTGAGCAAGTCACTGCACTGCTCTGTGTCTCAGTTTCTCCATCTGTAGAATGAAAATAGTATCTACCCTCCTTTGGAAAAAACTTTGAGACCTACATGTGAAATTGCTAAGCAGTATTATTTCCAACTCTAATTTCTTTTATTTTTTTTAATAATATATGGGGTGTGGTTTGTTCCAATTCTTCTCGCCTGGTATTTAGTCTCTGCTTAAGCCATGTTGCTTCTTCCTCTTTAATATCTACCTTCTTTTCTCACACACACACTCTCTCTGTCTCTAAAGCTGTTGCCCAGGGTTTGGTCATATGTCCCTGGTTACTGTAACCTCCTTCACAGCCTTCCATCTTCAAGCCATTCAAAATACTGCTGATAAAAGTAATCCTCTCCAGCCACTCCAAACTTATCACCCACCTCCTCAAATACATCCCTTAGCTAGCTTCCTGTCTCCTACTACAGCACCTCCACTCTCCCTGCCTGCATCTCTGCTCTCATTTCTTCAAACTCTCTACACTCCTCCCCAACTTCTCACCTTTGACTCTTTTACACTGTCACCTTGGAAAAGTCTCCCAAGTCAAGCCAGCCCACTACCTCCAAAACCAGTTCTTCTAGGTGCATTGCCTTCGCCTTTTGCCTCACCAAGCCTTTCTCCTCACCCTTCCTTTCTTCGCCACGTCTTGTCTTCCACTTGTCTTGTCTCTTATGTTATAAACTCTGTGTTTTTTTGTTTTCATTCTGGAGAAGTTTTTTCACTCAGAGATCCTCAACTAGTGTAAACTGTCATAGCCACTAACTTCACTGGAGCTATAATGTACATGAACTGAGAACGTGCCCACGAGTGTAAAAATATAATTAGGAAGGCCAAAAAAGAATTTGAAGAACAGCTAGCCAAATAAAAAAAAAATTGCTATTAGTTTTTGAGTAAGTACATCAGAAGCAGGAAGCCTGTTAAACAACCAGTGGAACCACTGGACAATTGAGACACAGGCGCCAACTTTCCCTGGCGCCGGTGGGTGCTCGCACCCTCCCCCGCCCCAACTCCACCCTTTCCAAAGAAGACAGTCAAAAGAATGAAAAGACTAAATGAAAGAAACACACCTACCCCAATCTACAGCCGATAAAAATCTAATAACCAGTTAATAATTTGTCTTATACACACTGGATAGAATGATTTCTTGATGTCGTCTCACCCTGCTCGGGATCACACTTATATTTCAGATCAGCTCAATTTCATTTAATGAATTACCACACAGGACTGGGAGTCTTGAGAACAGGGTTCAGTTCCTGCCTCTATTACAGGCTTGAGGAAGGATGGGTCAGTGGTTTGGGCATTAGCCTAGGACTGCGGAGATTGGAGTTCAATCACTTGCTTTACCACAGACTTCTTATGTGACCTTGAGTAAGTCACTTAGCCTCTCTGTTCCTCAGTTCCCATCTGTTAAATGAGGATAATAGCACTTTCTTATCTCACAGGGGTATTAAGATAAATCCATTAAAAAGTTTCAGAGTAGCAGCTGTGTTAGTCTGTATCCGCAAAAAGAACAGGAGTACTTGTACTAAAAAAGATTGTGAGGTGCTCAGATACTATGGTGATAGGGGTCATATAAGTACCAAAGATCGACTTTAGACCTAGGCAAATCCCCATTATCTCTGTGCCATCTATAAAATGGGAACACTCCCATCATTACTGGAATTATTTACATTGCAGTAGCACCCATAATAGGCCCTGATCAGAATCAGGGTCCCACTGGGCTAAGCCCTATACCAGGGGTAGGCAACCTATGGCACGTGTGCCAAAGGCGGCACGCGAGCTGATTTTCAGTGGCACTCACACTGCCTGGGTCCTGGCCACCGGTCCGGGGGGCTCTGCATTTTAATTTTAAATGAAGCTTCTTAAACATTTTAAAAACCTTATTTATTTTACATACAATAGTTTAGTTATATATTATAGACTTATAGAAAGAGACCTTCTAAAAACGTTAACATGTATGACTGGCACGCGAAACTTTAAATTAGAGTGAATCAATGAAGACTCGGCACCCCACATCTGAAAGGCTCCTGACCCCTGCGCTATACAAAAGACAGCCCATGCCCCAATTATCTTATATTCTAAAAAGACAAAAAGTAAATAGAAGGTGGGGAAAACTGATACACTATCAAAACAAAGCTATGAGGGTGAAACCAAGTGTGTTTCTGATTCCACTTCTCTCTCTCTCTCTCTCTCTCTCACACACACACACACACACACACACACACACTACTTTTAATAGTAATAACAAAAACTAACTTTAAAGTATTTTAGTAGGGAAGGGTATTGAGTA